TGATAGAAATGTAAAACAGGGAGCACTGGACTTGGGAATCAAACATCCTGTGTTCTAGTGCCAGGTCTGGCTGTGTAAACTGGCCAGGATGATCAAGCAGGGTTTCATTTTTGCAAACATCTGAGTGCCTATTTCATTCGGGTCCATGTGGTACCAACTGTCATCCCTAGTTGAGTTGGATCCAGGGCTCAAGCACTATTTCCCTAAGTGTGCTGCTAATTCTAACCTGCTATACATGCAGAATCAGAACTGGAAACAGTTTGGGGAGAGTCGAGGCCTCTGCGACCTAAGAATCGTAAGTTCACACAACCAGAGAGTGTTTGAAATACGGTGATATGCCATCCGTGGACAAGAGACAGTTCTGAAGAAGACTCACTTGGAGAACAGAAAAATAGAGAGATGTCACACAAGCAGTGGCTTATTCGATGACAGCTGAAGAGAGATTTAACAAGAGGGGGTCAACCATTTAAAATGACGTGACCAGTTCATTTTGGCTTTTTGATGCTCAAAACATTATTGCGGCTCACATTGTTTCGAGGAGAAAACTGTTTCTAGGATTCAGCCTTGCTGCCCTGAATCAGTGAAGAAACTGCAGTCTGAGAAGGTAAAGGTTCTGCCTTAACTAGAAAGCAAGTGTCCTTGGCAGATAGGTGGCCTCAGGGTGCTGAGGTAGAAGCATGCAGAGCACTGAGGGCTGAGGTCTGATAGCAACAGTGCTCCTGGCCAAGCCCGGGGGCCAGCAGGAGCTCTGTCCACACCCACCTTTGCCCTTGCCCTTCCGCCAGCTCCACCAGGCGGACTGTGGTCAGGCTGAAAGCACAATTTGGTACCATGGGGGTACTGACGCACACCCCTTTGCCACAGTACAGGTCAGAGAGGGACAGTGAGAGGCTGGGGTGCAGGTGAGGAGGGATGGCACCTTCCTCACGCAGCGAGGAGGGGCTTCAGCAAGGCCAAAGGAACCCTGGCAGCACTGGGGGACACATTTTATTCCAGAAATGCTTCTGTGGGGGCTCACCTGGAGACGGATTGGCACTTTCCATGATCATCTAGTCAAAAGTAAGAGTTCCGTTCTAGGTGAAAAGGAAGCTCAGATAGAGAAGAGAGCACCAAATGAAGGGTGTTGTGAGGACCCTCCCAGGGTGGGAGAAGCATGCTAAAAGTAGTCTATAGACCAAACATGATTGCCACTCAATGCCTCTCTTGCAAAACACAGTACCCAAAAGAAGAGAGAGAAAACAAGGGGGAATACCCTGCCACAGAGGCAGGATGGGACGGGGGGGATGGGGGATGCTGGGACCCGTGGTGATGGATGACGGGCACTGGTGGAGGGATGGGCACTTGATCATTGTATAACTGAAACCCAAGCACAAAATTTGTAAGCCTATAACTGTACCTCATGGTGTGTCACTAATAAAAAAAGAAAAAAAAGCAAGAGTTCCTACTTTTATAATTTAAATGGGTGAAGTGTGAGGCAGTGCTATAAAGCATTATAAGGAATAAGGAGTCCCTCAGAAAGTGTCTGATCAGAAGCCTTTGAGAAGAACCCCAGGCTGGACGGAAGTCATGGTGTTAAAGGACTAGCATTAACTTGTTC